GCTGTTTGAATCTCTAATCATTGGCCAGTCACCAAATAAGGAAAAATCACAAAAATGAAAGAAAAAAAAAATCTATGTTAATTTTCCACTAGTTGGAAGCCAAACTTCTAACGACTTATTCATCCTGAATGCAACTTAGTACTTATCAGTGTATGAAATAATTATTTTGAGAATGAAATATGTATTTTCTTCTATTATTGCCATCATTAAAAATAATGGTAACTTTTTCAAAGTTGGAAAAACTTGCTCTTTGACTTCCTTACAACCAATTACAAGCAGTAGTTTAGAATATTATAGCAAGAGATGTAGGCTAAACCTAGCTATCTGATAGCTATGATAATTTCAAAAAACACAATGATAATTTTTAAACAATAAAAGTAAAAGTGGAACTGTCAAATAGCCAGGTGGTCCCATACTCTTCAATAGACTCTGGGATATCATTAACAACTAAAAAAGTAGTATGCAATAACTGCTAATGTTCCCCAACTCTTTAAATGAAGTATAAACTTAAAGTAATACATTTTATAACATATTACAGAAGATATTCACACTAAATGTTTAATATAATAAAAATATTTATTACCTCAAAATAGCCACCTTTTTATTCAATAGTTCACACTAAGAAACATGTCTTGAAAAATATCATAAAGATATAAGAAGGGACATTTTCATTTGTATGAATCCTAGAGAAACATTCATTTATTCCTTCAACAACTATTTGAAAGTATGCTCAATTCTGGAGGCAGAGAGTTAAACAAAATGGGCATCCAAAAGAGATATGCCCAACCTCCTGAACATTGTGGCTCATGGGTCGAGCAGGCTTTAAAAAAAATCAAACTTTAAAAAGTCAAATAGAATAAAGTGGGTTGTTTATAGATGTGTTAAAGGTTTAAGTTTTATTCAACTGAAAAAGAGATATATGAAAAATGAGAACTTTGCCAAACAGGTGAGAGGAAAAGACTTTCTTTTAAAGAAAAGAATAATAAGGACTTAGTCCAATGACAGCTTTAGGAATTGAAGAAACTAACTAGCATTTAAAATGGGTAGAGTTGAGGATACAAATAGAATTAAGAGGGATAGACACTAGAGAGGTGGTAGAATTCTAGGCATTATTCTGGGACAAAAATTAAACTTTTGAAGGGTTTTATGTGGTAAAATTATATGGAAAATTGATATTAAATAATAAACATAATTTGATTGTTGGGTTTCAGTTATCATGGTTTAGCATTAAAACCAGGAGAACATTGTGCTAAGTGAAATAAGCCATTCAGAGGAACACAAGTACCATATGATTTCATTCAGATGTAGAGTCTAATGAACAAAGTGAACTAATAAGCAAAATGGTAACAAACTTATAGATAGAGAGCAGGCTGACAGATGTCAGGGGTAGGGGTAGGTGGGGGTTGGAGAAATTGAGATAAATAAATAAATAAATAAATAAATAAATCTATACTAATAATAGCCTAGGGCTGTCATGACCTAAACGACCAGAAGGATGAATGGTCACCAGGAAAGTGCATGGAGTAACTCTCGGTCCCTCCCCTGCAGCCCACAGGCTCCTATCACAGCAAGGCTGGTGGCCGGAGGCCTGGTGGGGCAGCAGGGGTGGATGGGCAGGGTGAGGTGGATGCAGGGGCCAGGGCAGAGGCCTAATAACCTCGCCGCTGCCGCAGCAGCTATCAGAACCCAGATAGGCCGAGAGAGAGAGAGAGAGAGAGAGAGAGAGAGAGAGAGAGACATGAGCCTGATCCGCAGCCACCACAGCTGCTGGCGAGGCCAAGTGAGAGAGAGAGGCAGGGCCTGATCAGCAGCTACTGCGGAGGCTGTAGATCAGGCCCAGAGAGAGGCCTGGAGACACTGACTGGAATAGAAACCAACCAATCAGAACCCAATCTGGGTGAACTGCAAAGGCAGAACCTAAGATGGGGGCTGAGGAGGGGTTTTAAGGACAACAGCTGTTTGGTGTAAGGTGTAAGAAAGTGGTTCAATTTTTTAATAACCAGTTTGGCAGTATAGTGCATATGGCTGGCTATTAGTCCAGATATAGAGATTATGTCTTTTTGTCTGCAAAGGGCATCTCCTCCTGCTGAAAAAGGCTTCCCCCTCCCCCATTTAAGCAATCCTATCCTATGTAATCTATCTATATTAATAAAAGGGTAATATCCTAATTAGACCGGGTTGATCGGCCATCTTCTGGATGTCTGACTTCCTTCCGGACAAAGCCATGGTGGTGGGGGCTGAGGCAGAGGCAATTAGGAGTGATCAGGCTGGCAGAGGAAGACAGTTGGGGGCAACATCAGGCTGGCAGGGGGTTAGGGGCAATCAGGCCAGCAGGGAAGGGCAGTTGGGGGTGAGATCAGGCCGGGAGGGGAAGGAAGTTGAGGGCAATCAGGCCAGCAGGGGAGCAGTTAGGGGTGATCAGGCAGGCAGGCAGAGGTGGTAATGGGGCAATCAGGCAGAGAGGCAGTTGAACAGTTAGGAGCCAGCAGTCCCAGATTGCGAGAGGGATGTCCGACTGCTGGTGGGGATCAAGCCTAAACCAGCAGTCAGACATCCCCCAAGAGGTCCCAGATTGGAGAGGGTGCAGGCTGGGCTGAGAGAACACCCCCCCTCTCCTGTGCCCAAATTTCATGCACCAGGCCTCTAGTAAATTAATTAATTAATTAATTTAGAATCACTTGAGGTGTTATAAATGCAGGTTCCTGGAACTCATCTCCAGAAGATTCTAATTCAACCACTTGGGGGCAGGGCCTGGGAATCTATTTTAAAAGCTTCCTGATGTGCAGGCAAGGATGGGAGCCTTTGCATGAAGTATCTGCTGAAGTAGCAGATATGAAGCCCTCTGAACATGTGAAAAAGCATGTTTGTTCCAGGAATTTTCACTCCATGTAGAGATCATGACCACAGCAGCCTCACTGATGATCCAGCATTGTGTTTTAAACAAAAATTGTTTTGTTTCTTTTCATCACAAGAAACCACATAAGAAATATCTACTTAAACTGGTAAAAACGTACTAACTTACCTTTAAAAGTACTTTAAAATTTTTTTTAGATTAAAAAAAAGTCTTTATTGTTGAGAGTATTACAGATGCCCCCCCCCCTTTTCTGCCCATTTCGCTCCCCCCCACCCCGCCCCAGATCCCACCCTGCCCCAGGCCTTCACAACCCTATTGTCTGTGTCCATGGGTAATGTATGTATGTATATAAGTTCTTTGGTTCATATCTTCTCCCCTCCATGCCTTGTACCATCCTTGTATAATGTACATAACTTTGCAAAGTAAAACTTGTAAAGCCTTTCTCTCCATTTCTCAACCCAACCCTCTAGACAAAACTACCACTAGTAACAGGAGTGCAGAACACTTCCTAAGCATTTATGTAGAGAATTTAATTTTTAAAAGGCCCATACAAGTTCTATAATTCAAGATTTTAGTTCATTTACTAGAAAATATGTTTGATTTCCTGGAGATTAAAAAAAAATCACTTTTTTTTTCTATAGAAATAAAGAGGACCCATGACAAGAATAGGTCATTCGGGAACATAAAGATTAGTAGACAATGAAAAAATGAGATGACATTGAACTACAGAGAAATTATAGAGGAGAGAGAGTTTATTCTCATAGAAAAAGCCCAGTAATGGACAAAAAAAGAGGATGGTAATTTGTTCAAATATTTTCAGTGTAGTTCTTGTGGTGGAAAAAAAAAAACACAACTATCCTGAGTTGTAATATTGTGGATTCCCTAGATCATTTCCCACCACCTTTCCATTCAAGTCTTTTTTTTTATGCCATTCCTCAAATCAGGTACTTAATATTCTAATTTTGGCATTTAGCTAAATTATTACAAGTCTTTTAAAATGTTCGTTGTTGCCAGAACCGGTTTGGCTCAGTGGATAGAGCGTCGGCCTGCGGACTGAAAGGTCCCAGGTTCGATTCCGGTCAAGGGCATCTACCTGGGTTGCGGGCACATCCCCAGTGGGAAGTGTGCAGGAGGCAGCTGATCGATGTTCCTCTCTCATCGATGTTTCTAACTCTCTATCTCTCTCCCTTCCTCTCTGTAAAAAATCAATAAAATATATTTTAAAAAGCCATAATAAAAAATAAATAAATAAAATGTTCATTATTACTGTATTATTTTCAATGTTAGAATATTTTTATCTATTTACTTGTATATTTATATTTTATTATATTCCATACTTGATTGTAAGTTTCAAAAGAACAGAGACATTATAAACTCTTCAATGTTTCTATGCAGGTATTGTACACAGGGCTTATGAATAAATAAGTGACTACATAAATGAATAAGCAACCCCCCAAATATCTTCCATTGAGATAAATTTTATTTATATAATTTAGGTTGATGATGTATATGTTGTACTTGTAGATATCATAGATATAGAGGGTTGAAGATAGATTGTGACTCTTGCAATCATATTTTGCTGTTGTTAGGACCTCGGGCCTGCTCTATTAGAAAAGTTTTCTATCCTCACTGCAGGAAAATCTTCCCAGGAGAATGCTGTACTTGCATCATCCATTACAAGGGAATAGTGGTCTCCCAGGAGCCTGAGTTCACCTGGCTCATAAAGCTCTTCACTCCTCATAACTCTGAGCTTCTGACTCCCTGTACCATAAGGACTGGTAAGGAAGAAAGCATTCATGAGGCTGACTTAGGAGCTGCGGAGCAGCAACCCTAAGCTGTCACTGTCACCTGCTATGTGTGATGACAGTGGCTCAGAGAGACTAAAAGTGAATGAAGTTAAGCAACTTCAGGACATTGACTTGCTTCTGTAACCTCTGAGGCCGAATACTGAAGAGATTCCCTGTGAAATCATCTTGTGCTGTAGCTTATTCCAATGAGTTGAGTGACCCTGGATTTCTACAGTTAGCTTTGCCTGTGCTGTACTCTGAGGGCCTGTGTTATCTGACTATTCTCAATGACAGCAGATGGTTGAAACAAAGCTGTGATTAAATACTTTTCTTATCCTGAAAATTACCTTCAAATAATCATGTCTGCTTCTACTACCAATTCCTCTGTATTCATTCTTACAGGGTTCCCTGGCCTGGACCAGTACTATCTCTGGTTTTCAATTCCCTTCTCCTCCATCTATGCTATGGTTTTCATGGGAAACTGCCTGGTGCTACATGTGATTCGGACCGAACCGAGCCTGCATGAGCCCATGTTCTACTTCCTGGCCTTGCTGGCCCTCACTGACCTGTGCATGGGGCTGTCCACAGTGCACACGGTGCTGGGGATCCTGTGGGGGCTCAGCCAGGAAGTCAGCCTGGATGCCTGCATTGCACAGACTTATTTTATCCATGGTCTCTCCTGCACAGAGTCCGGAGTCCTTCTTGCCATGGCTTTTGATCGCTTTACTGCCATCTGCAATCCTCTGAGATACAGATCCATCCTGACTAATAGTAGAGTCATTCATTTCATGGTGACCATTGTGCTGAGAAGCGCTGTGTCCATTCTTCCTGTCATTCGTCTGAAGTTCTTCCATTACTGCCGCCCTCATGTCCTCTCCCACTCTTTCTGCTTGCACCAGGACCTGCTCAGGCTGGCCTGTTCTGACATCCGCTTCAACAGCTTCTATGCCCTGGCTCTGGTGATCTGTACCCTGCTGTTGGATGCTGTCCTTATTCTCATCTCCTATGTTTTCATCTTGTATACAGTGTTGGCAATTGCATCTCAGGAAGAGAGGTTCAAGTCTTTGCAGACCTGTGTTTCCCACCTCTGTGCTGTCCTGGTTTTCTATATTCCCATCATTGGTCTCACCATGGTGCACCGCTTTGGGAAGCACCTCTCGCCTTTGGTTCATGTTCTTATGGGCAACATTTATATTCTCTTTCCACCCCTGATGAATCCAATCATCTACAGTGTCAAGACCCAGCAGATTCGAAGCAGGATGAAGAAGTGGTTTTCTTTGAAAATGTAGGGAAACCTTTGAATTTTATTCAGTAAAATGTTTTTTTTGCCCTTCATTGATTAATGTGTCCATATCCCCCTATTTCCCCCCACCCCCCTCCCAATCTTGCCCTCACCCTTACCCTCTGTTGTCTGCATCCATTGCTTATGCTTTTATGCATGCATACAAGTCCTTTGGTTGATCTCTCTCCCTTACCCCCACCCTCCCTATCCAGTAAAATGTTTTACGATAAAAAGCAATAATGCTAGTTCCCATATGTTCAATAACTTATAATTTGTATAATATTTTCTAAAAAGTTCTGTTCTTTTATGAGGACTAGAATATTTAAAAAAACGTAAGTGCCAATGGGAGAGAGGTGGTAGAACTAAGTTTTCCTAATACACAATCCAGAAAAGATTTCTGAAAACTTGCTGGAGGATAATCATAGCAATTATGGACATGACAATAAGTGTCTTTACATTTTGTTGACATTTTCTTTCAGCATGGTTGTCATATGAAAATTGTGTTACCCTTAGTTTGACAATATTTTTATTTAAAACTAGACACATTTCTGTTTAAGATTTTGGAAGCATGTTTATATTTTAGACTTTTTAAAAATGGTGTTCATATCAAAATATATGTGCATTCCTAGAGGTGAGTTGATGCTGAACTGTGATGCTGACACTTCCCTCTCCTATGTTCCTTTCTTCCATTAATGACTTAGTGCAAGTCCATTAAAGGGATTTTGAAATGCAAAGATTTATGATTTCTCTATTTCAAAGATATTTCTCTTTAATTCTTTCTACACTCTGAAGATATATCTTATTGCATATAACTTTTTCATTTAAATTTTTTTTAATTTATCTTTATTGCTGAAAGTATTACAGATGTACCCCTTTGTTGTTGTTGTTGTTTTGTTCCATTGACCCTTTCCACCCTACACTTGCATGTATATTTGCATGTCCATGGGCTATGCATATATGCATATAAATTCCCTGCTTTACCCCCCCCCATCCCAGAGTATTATGCTAACAAATATAAACCAGACAAAGGTAAGTATCACATGGTGTCATTTTACATTTTTATACATATTTTATCATTATAATTTCTTCATGCCATTTAAAGTTCATAAAATCTTCAGAAAAATATTTTAGAAGTGATTGCAAAAGCACAATTGAGAATTAATGGTGACCTCTCTTAGAGTAATGGTTGTGAAAATAAAAATATAACAGAGATGAATGATATTGTGGACAAAAGGGGGCCACATGTTAACCTGACTAACTCAGGGATAATCTGTGTGGTAGCCTTGCAAACTCAAAAGACCTAAAGTAACCATAAAGGATGGTCTGAAATGAAAACCTTGAATTAAAAAGCAGTTTATAGTGGGTAGCCATGTCCTAGGTTAGTATCTTCCCTGACAAAGATCAACTTTGATCTTCACTAAACATATTTTTGGCATCTAAGATAACATACCTGCTGAATGTCAGGGTAACTTGTAATTTCCCTTTTTCCGGACCCTTCAGGGCACAATCAATGTACCAGGGCACCAGGAACAGAGACCACAAATTCCCTCATTGTTATTGTTAATTGTTGACTGTTTACTATCCTGCACCCACCTAATTTAAAAAAGTATGTGTCTATCATTTTACTTTTATCCAATCCCAGAGGTCCCCTCCCCTTTGCTTTTTCTGCTTCCTTAATCTATCACCAATGGAGTTAATGTAACCCACTCACATCTCCTCTTTTGATTGTAATCTATAAAAAAAGGTAAAAAAACAAACAAACAAACAAAAAACGCCATCTAGGGAGCACTATCTCAATACTTTGAGATTCTGCTTTCTGGCAATTATTGACTCAAATAAACTCACAAAAATACACCACAGGTTTGAATGCGGAGTTTTTTTTATGTTAACAACACTTATAATATATAAGCAAATTTTAATAAATGATTGTGGGTTGGTTTCATAGTTGATGCTTAGGTGTCTGATGTAAAACCACGTTGATGGTATGTCATTCAATGAGATAGTGACAGAGAATTACTATTGTTTATAAAAGGGGATAGTGAAAGCCACTTTGAATGCATAAAATTTGAGGTGTCTGCGGAACATTTATAAAAATCTATTTAAATTCTTAAGTACTCCCAGTGTTTCAGATGCAGTATTAGACACTACTAAGGTACAGGAAAACAGTAGAGAGCAGAAAGAGGACTTTGCCTTCATTATAACAGGTGATACAGACAAAAATTATTAAGGATACATCTACATTTACAATTATGATAAATGCTATTATTAAGAAATGAAGGGTAGCCCAGCCGCAGTGGCCCAGTGGTTGAGCATCAACCTATGAACCAGAGAGTTGCAGTTTGATTCCTGGTCAGAGCACATGCCTGGGTATGGCCTCGATCTCCAGTGGGTTTCAGGAGGCAGCCAACCAATGATTGTCTCTCATCAATGATCTTTCTATCTCTCTCTCCCTTCCTCTCTGAAATCAATAAAAACATATTTTTAAGAAATTCTAATAAAAAACTCTGAGCAAGGAGAATATGAATAATGACTTCCCTAAGCAAGTGGTATGTAATTGAGGTCTAAAGATAGAGGGATAAGTAACCTAAGGAATATAAAACAGAAGGAAATTTTAGAGAAACAATAGGAAAATAAAAGTTGAGAACATATGGACCATCTGAAAAACAAATGAAAGGTGACTATGAAACTTCAAGTATAAATGTTGAAAATTAAACAGAAAGAGGGTTATGAAAGATGAGATTTTACTTTAGTTTTAATTCTTAGAACAACATGCAACTACTAATGAATTGAAATTAGAATGATGAAATGATCAAACATGTATGTAAGAACATCTGTCCCTTTATTGAATAGATGAGAAAGAGTAGAGTTGCCAAAAAAAAAAAAAGATAAGAGTCTTAATAAAAGGATATAGTAATAGTTGAGTAGAGAATTGTATCTCTTTTATCCTAACTAGCATTTCAGAAAAGGCGAGGTTTTAAGGTAATTCTTATTCTAGATTTTATTTTCTCTTCAAATCTGTATAATTAAACCATGTTCTGTGGAAGGCTGCTTTCTTTTGTGGGCTTTGGTTTAAGATACCCTTCTAAAGATGTAAATTTCTCTGCAATTCACCAGATTTCTAAAATGAGCCATGGATGCTCTTTGTGACTGGCCCTGAGTACTGTTTGGAGCTATCAGTGATCCACAGCTTGTAGGTTGCTGGTTGCCTTTGGAAAGGACCAAGATGTGTGTCAGGTCTGGTTTTCCTAGCCCAGGGTCCAGAAGATCAGGGAGACTCAGAGCCTCCAGAGATCTGCCTCTGCCTGCAAGCTGATTGTTATTCTCAGTCTTAAATATTTTAGCCTGAGCAGACTCCACAGGATGAAGGGAGAGGTTTTTCAACAGGGTGGTGCAATTGCTTCCCCCAGGCAAAAGCTGCCTGTATGTTAAAGTTCTCCTGGAGAAAGATGTCCAGGAGAGCTGCCTTCCAAAATCTAACCCCAGAACCCCCAACCCTGGATAGATCCAGAGACACAGAAACATGGAACAGGCTGTAGAATCTCAGAGGGAAGGCAGGGTTGGGTCGGTGGGTGGGTGGGAAGGGATCAACCAAGAGCTTGTATACATATATGCACAGCCCATAGACAGAGACAATAGTGTGGTGAAGGCCTGGGGCAGAGGGGAAGGGGGGAAGGGGTCAATGTGGAAAAGGGGGGCACATAATACTTTCAACAATAAAGATTTTAAAAATAAGTAAATAAATATTAAAACGAGCAATGGAGATGTTAAATGAAAGTCACTTCCTGCACCCATGTACCTTTTTCTTTCCATGTTGAACAGTTAGTGACTTGGGATTCTGTGCTGCCATTCTGATCACCTTGCTCAGACTTTTCTTATTCAATGTCTGTGAGGTAGACTTTGATGCCTGCCTCATCCAGATGTTCTTCTTCCATGTTTTTTTCTCAACAGTGTCAGCCACTCAGGTACACCACTGTTTTGAGGAATTTCACCATTGCTAGGTGCCTGGGGCTATTGCTATGGGCTGTGGCTGTCATTTATAGGACCCTTTCTAATTTAGTGAATGAGGTTTTGGAAGTCTAATGTGTTATCCCACTCATACTGCTCACATACCCAGATATCACTGAGCTCTTCTGTTGTGACCACCACATCACAAGCATCTATGGCCTCATCACCATTCTCATCACCTTCAGAGATGATTGTGTACTCATTTTCCTCTCTTATTTGAAGATTCTGTCACTGTGCTAAGCATTGCCTCTGTGAAGAATAGTTCGAGGCCCTTAACACTTGTATTTTCACATCTGAGCTGTGTTGCTGTTTTATGCTCCTATGCTGGGGATATCCATTATGCATCATTTTGGGACACATGTTCCACCCATGGTGCACATTATCATGGGCTATGTATACCTATTATCCCTCCTGTTCTCAAGCCTCTTTTATGCACTGTTAAAGTCCAGGAGATAGGCATCTGTACTTTGGGTGATCTACTGAAATTATAGTCGAGAGAAATTTAGGGTCATTTATAGATTTCTGTAATAATTCCTATGAAATTAATTTCTAACTGGAGCAAATGATTATATATATATATATATATATATATATATATATATATGAAATATTCCTGTGTTTACAATCCTCATGCACTTGTTTGTCTTTCCCACTATTCTAGAATTTTTTGAACAATATCTTATGACCTTTTATCTACCACAAGTAACTAAACTAAGATAGGTAATAAATAATTGTACAAATAAAGAGTGCATTCTCAATAATCTATATCAGGGGTCTTCAAACTTTTTAAACAGGGAGCCAGTTCACTGTCCCTCAGACCGTTGGAGGGCCAGACTATAGTTTAAAAAAAAACTATGAACAAATTCCTATGCACACTGCACATATCTTATTTTGAAGTAAAAAAACAAAATGGGAACAAATACAATATTTGTATTTGCATGTGGCCCGCAGGCCGTAGTTTAAGGACCCCTGACAGGAAGCCCCAATATTCATGGAAATCAG